CATGTTGATATATTTGAAGTATATATACTTCAAATATATCAACATGTACAATTACTAATAGTTTATTTTTCGATTACATAGATATCAATATGTCTATTTTATAATCTATTCACTAATCTACTTTTCTATTATAGAAAGTCAATGAAAACTTGCAAACAAAAATCCTTACCTATTTGTTGTTGTGCATAATATTCTAATTCTTGAATATTTTTTTTAAGAAAATCATTTTCTAAAAGCATATCTTCAAGTTTTTCATTTAACATTATTTGTATTTGCATTGCTTGTTCAATTGATTCATTTGATGATTGTATCATAGTTTTACGTTTATTCTCAATATATTCTTTCATTTCTTCAAGTTCATTAGTTTTTATTTGTAAATCATATTTCAATTGATCAATATTCTGTTGAAGTGTATACGAATTCGAATATTCATCCGATTGTTGTGAACGTTTTGTACGAAAAAGACTAAATCGACGACGTAATACAGATGTTGGACTAAATGTTGTTTGTATAGGTTTTGTTTGAAAATCAATTAATGATGTTTGAGATTTTTTAACTTTACATTTTTTATTATCTTCTTTTTCTTGACATTCAATTTTACGTTCATTATTATTCGATAATGTATCTGAACTTTTACTACGAAATTTTGTTGATCGAACTGGAGCAACTACTTGATAATAATGATGATAAGATAATGATTTATTCATTGTAAATTAATATTAATTGAAAAAAAATGATAATAATCTACAATAAATAAATTCTTAGAGAATTATTTCAAAAAAAAAAAGATAAAGATCATTTTGAATAAATACTATTTTTATAATAATACATGCCTTTAAACAATATCTGTCAAAAATCTTAATTATTTTAAATACTACCTTTTTCTTCTTGTTCTAAAATTAGATTAACCTATATATTCGATATGGATGACACAACGTTGAATATTTCGTGTATGTATATACATACAAAGAGTCAAACTATTATCGGATTGATCATTTCGTTAAAAATGTCCATAGAACATCTATCATATGAATCTTATCTTGTCCATGAAACTTGCGAATATATATAAAGCGCGTAAAAGATGACACTTCGCTAGCAAACAAACTGATCTCTTACATACAGGATATGTCATTTATTAATAAGCAAAAAAGATGTAATACATATATACCTACACATTCTACTTCATTTAAACAAGATAATATCATTTTATGAATAATGCTTACGTGTACATATATAAATAGATATACATGTATTTATACAATTAGATATACTCTGATCTTTATTCTCATATGAGTATGTTAAAATAAAATGTTCTCATCGTAATTATAGTCAACAATAAATAATGATAGAAAAAGTGGTAAAATTCTATGAAGCGTATAATAACCATACTTAGTAATTAGCTTTGAGTACAACTATAGAAGGCAAAGAAAAGAACATGAATATATGACTAACTTTTAAAAAATAACTGTAACTAATTATATTTTGACGAAAGATGTCGAACGATATTATTTAGATCTATTTAAAAAGACGAAAAAAAGTTCATTATTTAAATATTTCTATTATGATACACATAAGATATTATCTTACTAAAACTAAGAAAATGAAGATGATGATTAACATTGACTTATATAGTAGTATTTCTATCGTATAAAAATCATAAGTTATTACTATTGTTGACAGCAAATGACAAATTGAATATGACCTCAACCCGGAAGACTATACAAGTATACATTTTTCAACACTAAAAGATAAAAGAAAAAATCAAACATCTACACTAATATTAATATACCATTTCGTTCTCCTGAGAAAAGAACACACAAAAATCTATTCATAAAAAGATTAATTGAAACGTACAAACTCTTTACTAAAGAATCATTAGTTACCTTCATCAAAATCTCCAAGGTCATTATTTTCAATGTCAATGATTGTTCTAAAAAAAAAGAAAGTAAGTAAGGAATAAGTCAACACTAAGAGAACCTATTGTCACTATTATGTACTCTGTTTATTCTCCTACACTTCACATCGAATAGACAGAAAAAAAGATTATTGAACTATAAAAGAAATATTAGTAGAAAATAAACGAATGTTCATATAGAAACAACTGCTACTATTTCTTATTCATTTGTCAAATGATCATGTAATATATAATATGAAAAGAAATAGAAACTACCATGATTAATGACAAGAGAAGATAAACGATCATCAACTGTTCATTTATTCCCTTCTATATTAAATCAATGATTTTTCTTGTTAAATATTATTTTAAACAGAAATAAAAGTTAATAATATGTACACATAATATAAAGACCTACAAATTTTCTTTTCTATTAAATATCTTATAATTACAAGAATAATTAATGATTATATTTATAGCTTACCTCATTATAATCAATATGATTTATTTTTAAATATATATATATATGCTAGTTTTAGATTACACTACAAAATTTTACTGTAAATGACTAAAGTAATGTACTTTTCTCTGATTTATTCTGTGACATTGGAATAGGTAAGAAAGCAATCGACTTTTCGTCTATGAAAGACGCCGTTTTGATTGAAACATTATTTTTTTATGCGTCGCCTATTAACGCATCTATAGAATAGTCGATTTATTTTGTTCACACTCGAATGTAATTTACCTTGAAGTCGATAACTTCAAACTTGAAAATATTATTTTGATAAATAAAACAATAACTCAATTCGTCTAGTGTAAACAAAGATGTTTTTTTTTGCCTTTCTTATCAATGATAAGAACCATTCACAATGTCTTGATAATGATCAATGTAACATATATATTCGATTCTTTTCTATCATAAAGGACAAGGTTAACGACAGGTACATAAGGGTTATTGTACTATTAATCTGATTGATAAATTCTAAATTGATCAATGTCGAACTACATTAGAAAGTATAGCTGATATATCTATTTAAAGTTTTTTTTACTTCTATTAAATAACTAGATGCATACTTTGGACGAATAATCTTGAGTCAATATTTGTTTGACGAGACGTATGGAAATATTTTTCGTTGAATTACATAGAGAAAAAGCCTTGAGTATTTTTTACTATTAGCTATTAAGAATATTTTACGACAGCTGCAGTGCTGCTGTTCTATAAAAGGCACAAACCACTCTCTTTACTGAATTTTCTTACTCGACGAACAGCAGTAGCTGCATTATTTAAGTCTCTTGTTTGGAGCACATGTAATCATTGATAATATTAATCTCAACGTCTTGCAATTTATCAATGCAAAACTAGGAGTTTTAGTCGTTTTCTATTCATTCACTGAGAACAGTTTCTAAATCTCATATGAATGTTCGTTATTCTCTTCCTATACGTTACTTTTGGATGTTTTCAAAATTTTGTATTTATCAGCATAAAAATCTAGTAGAAATCTTCATCATTTCAAGCGATGACATTATCAGATCACAACAACTATCTCTCTTGTCTAAATCAATATCTACTACAGTCAATTTCCATAACTATCAATCATTAGGACTCCTATTCACCTTTATATTTGCTTGTTTGTCTATCAAATTACAGTCAAGATTGAAATAACATACACATAAACATATTTTTGGTAGAAACGTAATGAATTTATTTGACAATACTTTCGCGCTATATTAATAGCCATTCTTAGTATAAAAAAAACCATTAAAAAAAATGAAAATCAAACATGTTATTCACTTGATATCAAAGCACACGGTTTTTAAAATGGAAGAAGAAGAAAGAACAGCTTATAAAAATTTATTTTCACACCCTAAAACAAACAGAATAGTTTTAACTTGTTGTAGTGGCTGCTTGTGTTGTTGGTTTATTTTTAGCAGCATCTGGATCACGAATAAGTGCAAGAATTTTATCTAATTTTGCATTTTCAGCTTCTGGACCTTCAGGTACTTCTTGACCTTTCTTAACTTTTGGTTTTTTACGTAGATTTGGTGAAAGTTTCAATGTTGTGATATTTCCTCGATCATCACCAGCTAGTACAATTGGAAATTGTTGATTAAATGTAATATGTGTTAATTTTGTACGTTTTTTTTGTACAACTATTTGTTCTGTAAGTGGCTCATATTTATTGACATTTAAATCAAATACAAAAACTTTTCCATCAGCTGTACATGCTGCGAATACAGTTGAAGAATAAGGTGCCCAATTAACATCACCTACAGCACTACCAAGATCATAAACAAATAATGGATCTCTGAATAATAAAAAAAAGAATTAAAATACGGAAAAATAATTTCGTAAATATTTCTATTACTTATAATTAATATCCCAAATTTTAACAGTCCAATCAGCTGAACAACTAGCAAATATTTTTGGATGATATGTATTCCAACGTACAGCATAAACAGCCATATGATGAGCATCGAATGTATCCAAAAATTGATTATTATATGATTTTGAACATTTATGAATTTTACCTTCTTCAGTACCGACGATAAATAAATAATCTTGTTGTTTATTAAAATCAAAACATGTTCCACATCCTTTAAAGAAAAAAAAATTAAATTAGAATATTTAATTTATTCACTAATTAAATTATCTACCAAGTGTAGTTAATGGAACACCTTCATCTGTTTCAGTTGTTGGTTTGTCTAATTTTAATTGAACAATATCTGTATACATAAGATCACTCTAAATAATATTCAAATATTTTTTTGTGATATATTTATATATATATTAATTACTTTAACTAATGTCCAACAGACAACTCGACCATCGGATGAAACCGAATAAAAATTTAGATTACTATCTAAATCATCTTTTTGCCATCGTACTTGCCAAACAGGATCCGTATGTTTACCACTACGAGCTGTACTTTGATATTTTGGTCGTTTATTTTCATCAGCAATATTATAGACAGCTACTGAACCATCATAAAAACCTACAAAATAAAAATTTTAATCACAATACAATATGATTATAAAAATAATAAAAGTGAATTTTTTTGCTTTTATAAATAATGAATATGTCTAGATATATAGAAGTTATTGAATTTGATTTGATTGAATAGAAACTGAAGGGTTTTTTTATTTATCAAAACACTTCAAGGTTTTTCTTTCGAAATCTATGAAGTTTATATTTATATAGATATACATTGGGTTTGATGATGTCTATATATAGACTGCATGTCTTATAATAACAAAGAAAAAAGAACTTGCTATTCTTTAGAAGTTTACAATTACATTAAGGTATAGCTAAACAGACACGACCTTTACACTGAAAGATTTTCCTCATATAATTACTTGAATTTCATATGCATACTAGTTATCTTCTAGTGTTTAGTTTTGGGTACAACACGTATCTTCAGTGTGCTACTATACGCATTAGAGACATAGACCCTAAACGAAGCCGACAATAAGAAACTATGGGGATTTGAAATGAAATTTTACCGACGAATTCTAAAAATGAATTGCCAAGACGGGTATCGAAGGAAAAGAAAACTAAGACTATTTCACCACATCTGTAAAATGCACGATAATAGGTTAATAGAACACATAGTATTTGCAAAAATCTCGACGAGGATATCCATGAAGAGAATGGTGTCAACGCAGTAAACAAGACCAGCGGGCACTAACGAATCTGATCCTGTAAATGGTTGGCCACAACCGACGCTAAGCCTATGGGCCAGGAGGGTGATCCTTAATTTTGTAACCTTATAAATATTATGAATTTTACTTCCAAAAGTGCTCTATATTACGTTGAAATAATAATACTCATAAAGTCTTCTGTATTCAATGAGAGACTTACCACAACAAAGAAGATTTGGATGTTTTGGATGAAAATCCAAGCTCATAACTCCACTATCAGTTGGAAAGATATTTTCCGGAAAACTTGGATTTTTTAATGAATAAATTAAAAACATTCCACGTGATTGTTTAAGAAAATCATCTATAAAAAATAAAGAAAACGATTTTAATTCAATAAAAAACAATTAATACAATTGAAATATACATGAACCAAATGAAGCAGCAAATAAATCTGGATATTGTGTATTCCATGCTAGATTGGTACATGAAAGTTTTTTTACCATATCGTATTGAAAAACCCATAAGGGTAAAAGACTTCCTTGTTGTTCACGATATTCATCAGCAGCATCTTCCCAATATTTAAAATCTAGATTAATAATAAATTGTATATATATATAAATAATTCGAATAAATCAATACCTTGAGCAATATCATCAAATGTATTGAGATTAATCATTCGCTCAAGTATTTTCAATGATATATTTGCTGTTTTTGATCGAACAAATTTCGCAAATTCATCGCCAGCCTAGAGAAAGGAAGTTTGATTTTTTTCCTCTGAAGGATAATTTATTTCTTAGTTATCTTACTTGTTGATCCGAAGGAACAAATTTTTTCTTTCGATCATCATCTTTCTTGAGTGTATGTTTTTTCGATTCTTTTTCTTTTAATTTTTGCTAAATTGTAATAGAAATAAATGTATCTTTTTTTCACATAAATTCAATTTACTTGTTGTTCAAAATCTTCGTTATATGCATCAAAGATTGACCATTGAGATACATTATCAGTAAAAGCAGCACGTGGAGTTTGTTCAACAAATGTTTCACGATTCTAAATAAAATATTGAAGTTCATCAATCAAAAGATATAAGTCAAAAAATCATACACGACATGGATTATTATATGTTTGAGATGCACGTTCACTGAAATTAAATTGATTCGTAAGTTTTTTTCCTTTACCACCAGCACCAGCCGTTTTTTTAGGTTTATCTTCGTCTTCATCTTCACCTTCTTTTGTTGTTGTTTCCTAAATAGAATATAAAAATCAATTGAGACTTATTTCTTTTTCTATGTCATTTACCGCGTCTGTACCAACTGATGCTGTTGCTACTTCTACTCCTTCAGCTGTATAATCAAAGAAAATATTAATTATTTCTTTTTAGAATTCTACTTCCTTACCTGGAGCATCCACAGTTACTTGTCGCTTTGCATCGTCAGAATCTTTATGAATAAGATTACTATCAATTTGATAATGAACAGCTAATTGATCAACATGTGGAATAGGTTTATATATTCGATCCTAAATTATTCGTTCAAAAAAATTTAATTCATAATTTAGATTTTAGTTACCTTATAACTGTATCGAATTATATTTTCAGCTGCTTGAGGATTACGTGCAGTTAAAATTCGTGTATGTTCCTCGTTCAATTCCTAATGACAAATAGAGTTATAAAAAATTTGATTTAGAAATTTAAAAACAAAATACCGCATCAGTTAGTTTCAATTGATCTTCTGAACGACCGAGCATATTAGACTAATGAACAAAAAAAAATGAAAATTTCAGATAAAATGATTTGCAAAAGTTGGTTACATCATCAATGAAATTTGCCGGCATATTTCCACCTTCTTGATCATCATATCCTGTTAAAGAGCCACGATGAGCTTGACTGAGTCGTCGTTGAAGATTGACTCCAACTGGAACTGGTTGGGCCTTAAATAAAAAGAAAAAAAGATTTCAGTATAGGAAGAATTACATATAACATATACGTACATTTTTTTTGTCGGCACCTGCTCGTGCTTTCATGGTTGCTAAAAAGAATTAAGTGCGAATGAAAAGTTTGTTTCATCTCTCCCATTCACCTTGACACTGCATTAAACATTACATAGCAACGGATGGATTAAATGCTTAACATAGATGTCAGTTCATTTTTAATGTTGAAATTATAGTAATATATTATTCGATTAAAACTTTAAAAAAAATCCTATGGACATAATCGATACCGAAAATTTCGTTAATTAACGGATTACAAATCAATTAGAATGAGCAAAAAACTTCGACTATTGTTAACTTTCGAAAGTAAAGTGTTTAATTTACAACGCTTTATACGTTAGTAAAAAGGTCGATGGATATATGCAGTATTATAGATGAAAATCGAGAAGATGAACGTACTATACTTATTTCGCAGTTAGTATCCATCTGCATCTTCAGCTTTGAAACTTAATTAGATAAAATCTTACTACCTATAATAATCTTTTCGTAGTTCAGTCTCAGATAATGCATGAGAAATGAGTTTCTAGAATACCATGAAGTAAAACTAACTATGTAAAATAATAGATGATAATCAGTTACTCATCGATTAGATACATAAGCTTCTATATACATTCATATATTTTCTGAAAGTTCAATTGATAAGAATTAATTTTTAAAAAATCAGCTCAATTCTAATTGTTAAATCGCACATAAATAGAAAATTTCTTATAAAGAATTTACGCATACGCGGCGTCGTTTATATTAAGAATCTGATTAAATATACATAACCAGTTACAGTCTTTGAGAAATCTTCCAAGCCGACTAGAATTTTCATCAGTTTCACTCCAACCGTATAATCACAAAATAAAACAATTATTTTTCCAATTCTTATGTATTTACTGAAATAAAACGGTTTATTTAAAACAAATTTTATAAAAAATTTCTTATTTAATGATACTATATATCATAAATGTATTTATTAGATACAATACAATTTTGTTAAGTTCTCTCTTCATTAATTAAATTCTAATTATATTATTATTATTACGAAAAGGAAAAGAAATAGTTTCATCGATTGAAGTATTTTGCTCCAACTTGATTCGATGCATAATTATTATGAGTTTCAAATTCATTTTCAAACATTGTTATTTTTTTTGTTGTTCCATCTATTTCACAAACAATCCAAAAATTTGCATTAGGATTATTAACAACAGGTATTTGAACAATTTGATATGGTGTTGTCGAAGTTGACGCCATATGACCATTATTAAAAGTAACTGTTGCGTTTGATTTTGTTAATAATCCATCACGAGAATAACGATGAACAACATAAAGATATTTTAAACCAGGTTCAAGTGTTAATTTAACTGTTTCAGGTCCATAACCACCTGTAACATCATAATCAAGTGAAATATTTCCTTGTACTTTAGTATCATAAAAAACATGTCTTCCATCAGATGAAAATAAATGTGAATCAAGATCACGTGGTACTTTATCCCATTTAAGAACAATTTCAAGTTGATCACTATCTAATTTTCGACAAATAAATTGTGTATTTGAATCTGAACCACGATTTTCATAAACAATCATACGAAATACTGATGGTTTATGTTTTGTATCTTTTGTATCGATTTCAACTTCATAACAATTTTTCTGTAATGTTGTTGGCATAATAACTGTACCTGTTGAATCTGTTATACCAGTAAAAACAATATTACCTTCTAATTTTAATTTAACTGTTGCGCCAACAAGTACATTATTAACGGAATCTCTTAAGACAAATTTTTTCGGCATACATATTTCATTTTCTGGTACAACATTAACTACGGTTTGTACAAGAACATTTTCTGAACCTTGATCATATATTGTTACAGTGTAATTACCATAATTTTGAAAATTATATTTATCTTCAATAACTGGTTTTATAGCAATACCATCAATATTTGGATGAATAACAGCTGGAAATAAAACATTATTTGAACCTTGTGGACCATCAATTGATGTTGGAACAGATGTTGTTGTTGTTGGTACATTAAGTGTTATTGGTATTGTTAAAACAGATGGTGCTACAGAATCAATTGTTGGAACAGACGATGATGCTGAATTAGATGATGCTAAAGGTATTTTTGATACATTTGATGGTAAATCAAGTAATTGATTTTTAACAACTGAAGATAATTTATTAAATGTATCCATAGGTTGTGATGATTTTGTATGCGTTGCCATTTTTGTTACTAATGATTCAATTTGTCTCGACTAAAAAAAATCTCAGAAAATATTATAGGAAGAAAATTTGATTTTAATTAATAAACCTGTGTGGTCACGGTTGAAATAAGTGAACTAATATGTTCTGCTTGTTGTTGAATTGTAAGTAAAAGTTTCATGTGCATGTCTGAATCTTGTTGTGGCATAAAATCAACTGCACTATGTGGTCTTTGTGGCATAATATCAATGGCACTACGTGGTCTTTGTGGCCTATCATGCCCCTTACTAAATTAAAAATAATAAAAATTATTTTTTTTTCTAATTCTATTATAGTTACTTTCGTAATAATCTTAATGCTTTACGAAGTTTTAATTGATGACCTATTGATGGAATTAATTGGTGAACTATTTCATCATCTAAACCATCTATTTCATCGATTAATATACCACCATCAATATTATTTCTTCGGAAAACTTCAACATATGGTTGTAATGATATATCACATAACCATTTAGCTACTTCTTCAACAGTCCAATTTGATGCAGCATCACGCATTGATTGTGATGAACGTAAATATGTAGTATCAAACGAAGATGATACTGATGAAATTTCACTATATACCGAAACATTATCATCATCTCGATAATGTCTAATATAGAAACATAAAATTTAACATATCTGAAGTTTATTTTCTATTTACCGATAACAATAGACAGCATAATTTTCATCATCTTTTACTTTAGCATTCACTGAATTTAACTGTATACTACATGTTTTACAACGAAAACATATTTTATGCCATGTCTGTTATGAAATAGAAAGAGAAATATATCGTGTAATAATACTCTCTATCATTCAAGGAAAAATAAAAAGATATCAATGATTACTTTGACTACCTGTTGAATGATCAATATTATATATATATATATCTTTGAACTTACTTTACGAGAATAATGTATTTTATCCGCTATACTAACAACAGTAGTCGAGCAAGCTGGGCATACCATATTAGTTGATGTTGTAAGCATTTTTTATTTTAATAAAAATACGAAATTACCAATATGTTTCTTCGTTTTTCTAATCAATTATATTTAAGTAAATGAATAAATAAAACAAAAACTGAAAAGGCTTTTCTTTTCTATTCTATATTCTATAAAAAAAATGAATTAAAAAAAAATTTAATAATCTTGACTTTTTTTGCGACTTCATACAATAGAAAAAAGAAAGAATGAAAGAAAAATTAAAATAATTTTATCGTTTTTTTCTCTGATTGAGACATAAAAACATATTTGTTTATATTATCAAAGTATTGATTAAGATAACAAATTAAAATCATTTCTTTTTATTCCGTGGTCAATCAAATCTTTCATCTTCATACATATTTATTTTTATTTGAATTTGGTATATTTTTTGTATAAACAGTCTACAAAAGTAACCACAGACTTTTTAAGAACAATAATAATAATATTGTGAAGGTGGTATAAACAAGGCATCGAAGAATTTTAAAAAAAAAAGATATGAAATGTTTAACCCTTTATAGCCGGGTGTTACCAAGAGGTAAAAATTTTGCCGTAGGGGGGTACGGTATTTTTTAAAAAGTCGGCCGTGAAAAATTGATCCTTATAACTAAACAACAAAGAATATATAGAAAGATAACTTTTTGCTTGTTGTCTTCTGGTAGCCGGCCGTAAAGGGTTAAATTAAACTATTGAATTTCGATGTATTGATAAAAGAAATATCAGTAATTTTATTAGATATTAATTTTTGTACTTATTAATGGAGAATAACTGATTATTTTTTTAATGCGGAGAAAAATATTTATTATAAATATAGTAGATAATTTCGCCATAATTTTTTTATTATTTTAACCTTCAAAATAACTTCAATAATAATATTTTTAATGAGTAAATTACGCCTCTCATTACATTATGGATATGTTCAAGGACATGAGACATAACAAACAAACAAATCATGATGCAAACAAATACATTTTTATCATATAAAAACCCGATAAAATATGGTTTATAGGTACTTTTAATTTATTCTACAAAATTATATTTGATTTAGTAATAACATTTCGTGAACAAACAAAAAATGCATTATATACAATAATGAATTCGATTTCGAGTGCCTATTACTTTTTCATTCAACCTTATATAATAGTCTTGTCATTATTCGACGGTTTCGCTCAGTATATCAAAGTATATGCACTTTATTTCGTCGTGTTCTGTAATAAAGTTATACATCGAGTATAACCGACTTTTGTTTTTTTTCTATATCGAGTCACACGAGAAATCATATATTTTGTCAAAGTTATCAAGTACGTATGTATGGATCTTATATTTTGATGAAAACGAATGATAATTTTTCATACGTAAAAAGGTAAAATAACATGTAATTTTCTTTTTATTAATAGACTTAAAAATAACTAATATTAATAATGGCTGATTCTTCTCCTGAAGAAAATGATATCGAAGTTGACAATAAATATGCAGTAGATAATCAATCATTTACAGCTGATGATGATAATAAACAAACTAAAACTCATTTAAATGATATTGATAATATAAGTGTTACTTTTCGTAAAGATAGTTTAACAGTTGATATCGATCAACGACATAATTCAAGTTATCCATTAGATAAAAATGAAGGTGAACAATCACCTTACGAAGAAGTTGCAGCAAATGTTTCAAATAAAGATGATCCATCAATGGCAGTTTTAACATTTCGTTCATGGTTTCTTGGATTAGCATTTACTGGTCTTCTTTCATTTATTAATCAATTTTTTTGGTATAGAACATCACCATTAGTTATTGGTGTACTTGTTGCTCAATTACTATCACATCTTATAGGCAAAACTCTGGCAAAAATTTTACCAACAAAAAAATTTAAAATTTTTCGATGGTATTTTACTTTTAATCCAGGTCCATTTACTGTTAAAGAACATTGTATCATTACAACAATGGCTAGTACTGGAGTTGTAAGTTATAGTTTAATTATAAAATCTCATGTGATAATATTTTTCTTTTAATAAAATAGGGTACAGCTTATGCTATTGATGTACTTACTATTCAACGATTATTTTATAAACGAACAATGCATCCTGGTATGGCTATTATATTCGTTATTACATCACAGATTTTAGGATATGGTATGGCTGGTATTATGAGAAAATTTCTTGTTTGGCCAGCAGCTATGATTTGGCCATCTAATCTTGTTAATTGTGCTTTATTTCGAACATTACATAATGATAAAGAAGATCCTAGTACCGATGACAAACCTCGATGGACAATGACACGTTTGCGGTTTTTTGCCATAGCATTTATTTGTCAATTTATTTATTATTGGTTTCCTGGTTATATATTTCCAGTTCTATCTCTTTTCTCTTGGATATGTATGATTAAACCAAATAATGTTGTTCTCTCACAATTAACAGGTATTAATGGGCTAGGAATTGGTTCAATTGAATTAGATTGGAATGCATGGGTATCATTTCTTGGTTCACCAATTGTTGTACCATATTGGTAAACAAATAAATTCAAAATTTTATATTTCGTATATTATTTAATTTTAGGGCTCAAGTAAATATTCTCTTTGGTTTTGTTTTCTTAGCATGGTTAATAGCACCTGCTACATATTATTCAAATCTATGGGATGCAAAAATGTTACCAATGGTTAGTACTCGAGTATTTACTAGAGATGGATATTATTATAATGTTTCTGCTATACTTAATTCAAGACTTCGTTTAAATGAAACTGCATATCATCATTATGGTTTGTTAATCTTTTTTTTGTTAAAGAATTAATTCGAGAGAAAAAAAACCGAATTATCTAAATAGGTCCAATTCGTATGACACCAATTTTTGCATTTTCTTATGCCATATCGTTTGCTGCAATTACTGCTGTTATTGTTCATACGATATTATATCAAGGTAAATCAATTATAAAACAATTTCGATCATCTCTAAAAGATGATACTGGAGATATTCATGCGAAATTAATGTCACATTATAAAGAAGCACCAGCATGGTGGTATGTTATTATTCGAAAAAATTTATTTATAAAAATAAATGATCAATTGAATATTTAGGTATTATATATTATTCACTTTGGCATTTGGTTTAGCAGCTATTGTTTGTCATTTTGGTGATTTAATGCCATGGTATTTTCTTTTTGGTAAACTAAAATATTTTTAAAAAACAAAATTATATTTTCGATTTTTTTTCTTAATAGTTGCTGTCGCAATATCATTTATTTTTCTTTTACCTACGGGTATTGTTGCAGCTGTAACAAATCAATCAATTGGTAAGAAACATATATATATTGTTTCTATTGAATTCAGTTTTTCTTTGTAGGACTTAATGTTATTACGGAGTTCGTAGCTGGTGTAGCTATACCTGGTAATCCACTAGCTAATGTTACATTTAAAACATATGGATATATCAGTCAAAATCAAGCTTTATTACTTATATCTGATTTAAAATTAGGTCATTATATGAAAGTAATAAATTTCAACTAATTTATTTTTGCTAAAAAAATTTTTTTTGTTGAAGATTCCACCTCGTGCAATGTTTATTACACAATTAGCTGGTACAATTACTGCTGGAGTAATCAATTATGTAACGGCTAGTTATCTATTATCGAGTATTCCAAATATATGTACTCAAAAGAATCCACGTTGGACATGTCCAAATGCAAATACATTTTATAGTGCATCGATCATATGGGGAGCTATTGGTTGATAAAATCTATTGTATAATGAGATAAAATAATTGATATGTTTTTTTTGTCTTAGGTCCAGTGAAAATGTTTGGACCAGGATCAACATATTCTTCACTTCTTTATGGCTTTCTTATTGGTGCTATTATACCAATACCACCATGGTTACTTATGAAAAAATATCCTAATGTTAAATGGCTTAAATATATTCATTTTCCTATAATGTTATCAGCTACAGGTATGATGCCACCAGCACCACCAGGAAATTATCCATCGTGGTTATTAATTGGTTTTATTTTTAATTTTATTCTTGCACGTTATGCACGAACGTGGTGGAAACGATATGCATATGTATTTTCAGCTGCTATGGATTGTGGTGTTGCATTTGGTATACTTATCATATTTTTTGCTTTACAAAATAATAAAGTTGAATTTCCAACATGGTGGGGAACTGGTGGAAATACCGGAGATGGATGTCCACTTTCACATGGTAATTTTTATGGAAGAATTCCACAAGATCGACCTCTAATAAATCAAAGTTAATTTTTAGTTAGGTATTCTTTTTATTTGTAAATATTTTATTTGAAAATAATAAATTCTAATGTCCTTAATCCATTGGAAGAAGATCATTTGATGCTAAATCTCGAACAAGATAAACGGCAACACCAAAAAAAGCAACACTTTTAACAAAATCCCTTGAATAAAAAAAGATAATAATAGAAAAAAAACATTTTCTTTCAAATTCAATAAATATTTACCATTTTGCTTGATCAGTATAAAATGTTTTAACATAATCCCATTTTGATGATTCATTAGAACGAGTCGAACCTCCTCGACGACCTGCGGAACCGCCTTCCATTGGAGCAAACATTTTATCTAAAAATGCGTCGTTTGTCAATTTAATATTAGTAACAATGTTTCCTCTCGCATATTCATTATTACACTAGAAATACATAGGCGTGTAATTAAACAAAGGATCTGAGTCCCCCTTACAACTTTTTCTGATTAAACTCCTGGAAATAGATCGATATCATAAGATTAATTCAAAGTAAACAAGTAATGCGCGTCCGACGACTCGCTTAGCTCTTTCTCGCCTTTGTCCCTCGTCATCACCTCCCTTTCATCATGGTTACCCAACAGATCCGAAGTCCCCACATAAAAAAACCTCTAGAAACGTATTTTTTGACAAATCAGTTTTCGATGTTTTTTTGACCTTGCGGACCTACGAGCAAGCAAGCAATTAGACAATTTATGTTTACTGGACTCTTCTCTACGAAAAAGAGAATATCTACAATTTGTCGAAAATAAAAATGGAAAAATTTAGACCACATCAACTATCGTATATTTACAAACAATATCATTCAAATAAACAAAGTTAACTGCAAAAAAAAAGAAGACACAAAATTTTTTGACTTAACATTTTAATACAAACAACAATAGAATAATACACATACACATAAAGAGCTATGCTCCAATTTCTGAAATTTTGTTTTCTTTTTTTTTCACTAATACAATATATAAGTATATACAAAACTAATCTAATGTAGGAGATGCTTCAGAAAGCGATGATGGTGACATTGTTTTAGTTATTTCACCAGGTGATAAATGTTCTCTGGATGGTGATGGAACAAGTGGTGATGGTGAATTTGTATTATTTGCATCTAATGCTGGTGATAAAGCAGTATCATTATCTTTTTTTAATGATATATGTTTACTAGCATTTATCGTATCAGTACCAATCGGTCTTTCATTAGTAATTGGTGCTCGATTTGTTATACCATTTGTTGGTGAATGACTATTTTCATCATCATCAGATATAATCATAGATTTTCGATCTTTTATTTCTTCATCATCATATTCATCATTTGTTAATAAACTTTTTCCAATAGTTTCATCAATTTTATATAATTTTTGAAGTTTTTTTTCAACATATTGTTGAATTAAATCCGCTTGTTCTAATGAACAATGACCATCATCAACACATCTAAAGAAAAAAGATATTAATTCTACAAAATAATTCTAGAAAATAGAAAACTACCTTGAAATAGTAATGAGTACAGGATCTTTTTTAATTGATTGTAAAATTTTAGCCATTGCTTCAGTTAAATAAATAACCATTTCTTCTGATGATACATGTAATGGTGGTCTTGTATCAGATAAATGCATACCATAGTTATGAATTGCTTTCCAATCTAATTTTTTATAACGAATAATAGAGATTAATGCTGATAGATAAGGATTACTAAAATAAATAGAATAAATTTCATATAAAATAAAGAAAACTATTTTCTTACTCAATAAGTACTGGTTGTTCTAATTTTGGACTAGTTAAATATTCATTCATTAATGTACGAATTTGTTCTAAGGCACTTTCACGTGCTGTTATATATCGTTGAATTTCTAAATCTGAATGATCATGTACAATACGTGTGTAAACATAACGAAGAATTTCATATTCATTTTCATCTAATTGTTTACGTATAAAATCATCCGTAGAAAAAAATGATAAATCAACATCAATCATAAATTGTCTTGTTTCAAGTAATTGATCAATTAATGTTGCATCAAGTGGATAGACTCGTCGTATTGTAGGATCATCTTTATGATTAATATCATTTCCAGATACTTTTCCTTTTTTTCTTTTATCAGCATCAAGACTTTCACTTCCACTATCATTATCATAGATTGGTGGATGAGGTTTTTCTATAATTGTGGAATAATTTTTTGCTAAACCAGCTGTTGATACATAAATATCAACTGTACGTATATTCGAAAGTTTATCATCTGATGAATAAACACAATTCGATGTAAAATATGGATTTGTTGAAACAATTCTAATAAAAAATATAAAGTTAACAATAAAACTCTACAAATCAAAATTAGTATACAAGTTCTATTTATACTGTAGCATTAGATTTAGAAGCATTACCTATAATCATGAAGATAGATTCTACCTAGATCAAATTACATACACATATATATATATTTCTTGAAAGAAATTTCAAAATCATTTATCTATTATAAACCCTCTAAATAGTGTTTTATCTAGCGAATGGGCACCGCCCAACCGAAATTTCGATTCGTACATCCAAAAAAATAAACCTGAATAAAACACTGGCTATATAGTAGAGTTAGTAAAAATTATCTAGAACGGTAGGGAGCTGCGAGTCTGGGTCTAATAAAAAAAATTTTCACGGTCTGGGTCGAGTACGGGTCTAATAAATTCTGTTTTTCCCAGGCCTCGATCGGGTCCGGATCTGGGCGTAGCCGGATCTGAGTCGGGTACGGGTGTAGTAAATTGTTTTTTTCTTCGGCCCGGGTCGGGTTCAAAAAAAGTAAACCCGTAGCTCCCTATAGAACGGAGTTTATGTTGTGTTTAACTATTAGAAACTACACTTCATTGAATGTCTTAATTTTTTATATGATAAGATTTACTTACTTTAATACTCCTGTTTCTTGACATTTACCAACTTGTAAACTATATTTGCCATCTTGAAATTGGTGAGCCCATGGTGGTTTAAACCAAAAGATTTTCGTTATATATCCTCGATAAACAGCTGGAAGTATCCAACATTGATTGTTTATTGAACTAGATGAAAGAAAAAATTCGTTTTTTTTTAATTAATTATCAATTTATATAATATACTCAATAAGATGATCTAATGTTTGTATTTCATCCGCTGGTACTTTTAATGGTACAAGTAAATCAGCGTAACTATCAAATCTGACTAAAGCAACATCTTCTTCTGATTTTAAATTTACTCCAATATCACGAATTAATATTGGAAAAACCTATAAATATAAATTCTATAAAAAAAAATATCCAGTAAATTTTCTTACTTCATTGTTATGTTCAACAATTTCAATTGTCAACTTATCTCTAATTCCGACCATTACATTTCATACTCTAATCAAATATAATCTAAAAAAGCAAAGATATCCTTATTATGTATTCTTTTCTATATACAAATAAAAAGAAATAGAGTCTGTTTGTTTAAAAACCATCACTTTCATTAATTAATGCTCGTTCTAAAATCACTCGTCCTTCTTTATAACGTTGTGATTCTTCTGTAGCAAATTCATACATCCAACCAAGTTTAACATCACATTTTTTACAACTTATATCACGAACAAAATGTCGACCAGTTAACATCATCTAATTGAACAAGAAAGAGAATAATTAAGATTTGTTTTTGTCGAAACTTTATTTTACTCGTTCTTGTACAGGACTTTGTTTTGTATTAACAACATGACTAAATAGAAATGCTCGACCAGTTGCACCTGTAAATCTTGTTGAAACTAATTCATTACGATTTGTTAATGGTGTCTCACATTGTGCACATGAAAACACTCGTTGACCACCAAGATGTTCTAAAAAAACACGTCCCATTATCTAAAATAATTTAAATGTATTCAATAATGGTTTTATATTATATGGAAATAAAGATTTTTCATGTGCATTATTTAATTGCTCATAAAATCGTTTCATTGTTATAATTAATTGATTATAAATATCATTTCCAGCTTGAAGTTTTAATTCATCACGATTTGATATCAAATATTTAATTAATCGAAGAAAAAATATTAGAAATTTTTCTCCTGTTTCAGGTGTTAATAACCAATTCATCATTGTATCTGTATCATAATCAATATAGGTTAATAAATCAATAAATATATTTGAAATATTAAATCGACATTGAAGAGATTTATTAAGGTTTATTTGAAATAATATAGAACAAAGATCAATAAGTTCATCATCATCGAAATCATGTAATTTGAAATATTCAATTAATGTTTGATTATATTTTTGATTTAATATTAATTGAAGTTGGACATCGGAATTAATTAAAACTAATTTTTCTAAGACAATAATAATTAATATATCAAGTTGTTGATAATTATCAAGAATATTGTTGGTTAATGGAAGAATTTTTGAAAGATATTTTTCTTCAATTTCATTAATTATTAAACGTAGTAGACGAATATATTTATATTTAAGGTAAGAATCTGTTAAATTTGTTAGACAAGTTGTTAAATGATGTTGAAATGATAGATGAAGAAGTTTAGTTGGATATAGATAAACACATTGTTTAAGAATTAAAAGTAATCCACGATTTATGCAAAGATTTTCATTTAAGATTTTTTTAATAAATTCATAAAGAGAAGAATTCGAACATATTGGATGAGAATTTATTCGAATTGTTTTAAGATATCTACCAAATGCCATCGACCAAGATAGTGTATTAGTTCGTTTTAATTCAATTAAAGATAGATCATTTGAAGAAACAAAAAGTTCATGAAGTGTATTTTCATGATTAAATTCTACACGACGTAATGATGATTCATTCATTGGAATAGTTTCTAAATCTTCAAGTTTTAGTACTGTCGAATTGAGATTTGCGGTAAACAAAAAAACTAAAACAAGAGATAGATGGTAAACAAATAACTAACAAGGATAATACTATTCACCAATGATTTTAAATATCAAACCAGATGTCGCTAGTAATCAATATAATTTCAAAGTTAAAAATATCATACGGATACGAAAATTATCGAATCATTCGATATACATATGTCTATTGTATTGAAATTAACCAACGTTACAACATTACTTGATTATCGATAATGCTTTAGAGTCTGGCGATTGCTCATAGAATGATTGATCTATTTCTTTTCATGCATGTTAAGTAGTACGTTTATTAATTTATAAGAACAGAGACCAAAGAAAATTCATAATGTAATAACGTCATTTGATACTTGTTCTGCTTCAAATATAATCGATTGACTCTAAAGTATTACCGGTAGTTAATAAGTGCGAAAATGTGACTGTAAGGAAAGTTGTAAAATAATTAAATGTGCATATAAACAGGCAAAAGTATTATTATCATTTAACAACATGTGACAATAAATAATCTGTATATCAATCTATTTTCAATTAGATTGTATAACTTCGGTATTCTCTGTTGTCGGACTTAGATTAACTTTGATACGATACAACTAGTATCTATTTTATTCGTTTTCTAATCATTGTATTGTATAACTGATTGATCAATTTTCAGATCGAATTAAATGATTGAACATCTTTCTAATGATTACTATTAG